TTACTTCGTGAATCATTATTGCATATTTAGACACACTTGTATGTCTCGAAAGGTTAATTATGTAAATAATATGTAAAAGTTAATGGTGTATTAAAAAATTGCGCGTGAAGCGCGCTTTGTAGTATATAGAAAAATAATAAAAAATAGTTATATCTTAACCGAATTTCGGGGCCCCTTAACATTGGGGGCCCTGGTGCAGTGCATCCGCCGCATCCCCCCTTTGCACGGCCCTGTAAATAGTAGAAGTAGATTTCGTAGATTCGTTACTTTAAATGGATTGGTTACAAGTAATTTAATATTTCGTTTAATATATTTTTAAGGGGTAACACCACTCCTGAGGCCCTAAAACTATATCTAAGTTTGGGAATTTTTTGGGGTCAAATGAATAACTTGATTAAAAAACACATAAACCACATTATTGTGCACATACTTGACTATAAAAAAAATATTTTTAGTAGTTATAATTATTAAAAATGGCGGCGTACTGGCACACTTCCGTAATCGACTTTTTTCCGAAGACACGATTTTGCGTGCAGGATTTCTCTGAGATGGTTTACCCTAGAACAAAAATCCAAAAAATTTTCTTTTTTATATTGTTTGAAGTTACAAACTACGTAGCCGTTTTAGAAAATACCCATTTTTTCCAAAATAACAGCTATTTTAGAAAAAGTACCTTTTTTTGGTCGAAAATTTGATTTAAAAAATATTTTTCAAAAATCCTACGTACTTTGTTGCGCGATACATAAAAGAAGATCATGTTAAAATTTCAAGTTAATCGGATAAAAATTGTAAGAATAGCGTTGCACGCAAAGCTTAAAAAGTGCGATTACGGAAGTGTGCCAGTACGCCGCCATTTTTAATAATTATAACTACTAAAAATATTTTTTTTATAGTCAAGTATGTGCACAATAATGTAGTTTATGTGTTTTTTAATCAAGTTATTCATTTGCCCCCCAAAAATTCCCAAACTTAGATATAGTTTTAGGGCCTCAAGGGTGGTGTTACCCCTTAATATATTAATTATTTAATATATTAATATTTATTATTTAATATATTTAATTTATCATTCAATTTATTATTCAAAGTGGAGGGTTGGGTGTCCCGTTACAGAGCCAGAATCTCTGGTTTTTTTACGTCTCGAATTATTTGTTGATGCATTCGTCGATTTCTTGTAACCTTTCCATCTGTTTTTTATATTTTGTACATTTTACTTGATACACTTTCAAGATGCGTATTGCATGGACGATATAGTCACACGCATCTTCGCGGTCGGTTGTCGCAGACGGTTTCGCGATTGGTTTTGCATCGATAAAGTCTTCTTCTTCATTTTTTAATCCACATTATTATTCATTCCAAGTTTTCACGGGATATTATTGAAATCGGTGCACATGTAACGCGAAGTAAAATTTTTTTGGCATATTTGACTTACGATTTCGAGTTGAAAGAACAGTCGCAAAGGAACAATCCAGATTTTAAATTAAATAACGGAATATTGAAAATATATTCTATCAATTTGATGCAGCCAATTTTTACAAAGAAATTTTTTTTATCAACTTCTTTTATTGTGTACTCTTCGATCCGATCGACCGCTCGCTTACTCGAATCAAACGTAATATTTGTCGATTATGATAAATCGACAATGGAAAGAGTTTTTTCTCTTTCCTGCTGGTTTCTGGTCGAAATGTGACCAGATTATATGGCCAGGAGCGACAAAAGGTAGGTCCAATCTGGTCCAACGAAAGAAGAACGCATTCAACGTGGTCCTTATTGACCACAAAGAATTGTGCTAATATATGTATAAAATATTTTTTTTTTCAAAAGTCGGGTGGGTCTTTCTTCTCCATATTTTCTCGCGTATATGCGAGATTCGCAAATTTTTAATTAAATCTCAATCGCGCGCGAGTTAAAACCACAAATCGTATCCTTAATAAAATCGTGTCGCGGTTTTAATTAACAATTTGCAGATTTGCTAGGCTTTAACACGGGCACGTAATAAAACGGATAGATAGAATTATAAATTGGTATACGGGTAGGTAGGGATTCGGGTAGGCAGGAATAGGGGGATATAATTTGATATTTTCGTTATAGACAAAATAATAATACAAACTAAATGTAATAATAATAAATACAAATATAAATATCTTATATACTTGTAAAGTACATTGTAATGTACTTTCTTTTTCTTTTATAATATTACAAAGTTATGTCGCAAGAAAAATTAAGTAATGGTAAGAGGAAAAAGATTATTGCAAAAAAGAGGACCGCCGATAGAAATTGGCGGGGGTGGTGGAGGGCCTCTATAATACTCTGTTAAAGTCACTCAGTGGATCATCACTGAAAAGTAGTGAATAGTTACTGATGGCCATAGTTATGCGAATCGTAATATATTTATAACTATTATATCAAACTGAATAATAAAAAAGTTAAAAATAGCATTGTAAAAAAGCGTTAATTTGCCAGAACTATTTCTAAAATTGATAAGGAACTCTAGAACTCTTCAGAGTGCATTCAGAACTGAAAAAAAAATATTTTTTGAGACATGAGGTGCCAAATTCACAGAGGTGATCAAAACACACTTGAGCAGAGTCGTAAAGTGTCGATTGAGTTTGAATTAAATTCTAAATGGAAAGCAGCTATAATATCATTGTCAGTTTGCGTGAAATCAGAGTTTAATTTAGGCAGTAACGTCTTTTAATTTAATGTTGAAGCTTATACATTTCACGTATTTCAACATCACACGAGAAATACAATATGTTGCTTATAACTTCGCTTGTTACATTTGCCTAAAATTAAACCAAATTGATATTACTTTCAATATTGTGATATTTAGTATATATTTCATATTTATTATCGGGTAACATTTTAATTTAAGTCTAAAGCCAGCAACACACGATGCTTTTTCGCTAGCTGGCTTGCTTGCGTGCATCTTTATCAATCAGGATGCAATTTTAACTCATCTGACCTATCACGTGGAATCTTGATTGGTTCTCACTAGCCAGCAAGGTGCACGCAAGCAAACCAGCAAGCAAAAAGCATCGTGTATGTACAGCTGGCTTTAAGGAAGAAAATTGGCCGCGTTCAGCAGAAAAAGCTGCTTTATAAAATTCCTGCGTTATAAAAATCCTGAATCTAATTGGCGTATAATTATGAGAGAATCGAAGAGCATACTCCAAGCAAATTTACGAACCTTACAACTGTTGCAAAGCAGCTTTTTCTGCTAAACGTAGTCATTGACATGCCGCTTCTCGATAAATTTCGGAACTCACCGATATCGAGTTATTCGCGAGCGCCTGCGCAGGGACGCACTACGATGGTCATTGAAGTTGCGCAAAGTTGCGTACATATGTACATACATACATAATGAAAAAAGATTAGATATACATATACATAGATACATAAAGAAAAAGATATTTAATAATCGGGGAGAATCTCTTGGTACAAATTTTAATAATAATGTTAGCAGCAGCTGGTTTAATTAAGAAAAATTCCTAGTAATGTGTTGTTAGCGAAAGCTACTTTTTAATAGTAGCATAGAGAAATCTGAAAGCGGCCACGTCGGCGTTTTACTTGATACCGTTTCACGAACCTTTTTTGCGCGCCCTTACGCCCATTTTTACTTTTGGAACTATTTTGCTATGCATTTTCTGGACATTGCCGATAAAGTCTCCACTTTGTGCGTGTCCGTGCTACGCCTATTTTTCAGGATTGTGCTGTGACTTTCAAAATTATACTAACATAAATTTTCTACATGATACTTACATAAACTTTTTTCATGTAGTCAATGTAAATTTTATAAATTAGATGTCAGAATGCACGGCACAGACATACACCAAGTGGACATTTTATCGGTAGAGTCGGGAAATTCGTAAGAAAATAGTTCCAAAAGTAAAAATAGTCGTAAGGGCACGCGAAATAGTCTCCTAAATGGTATCAAGTAAACTGACGGCGTGGCCGCTCTCAGGTTTCTTTCTGTAGAGAGTAGTAAAAAATTTACAAACTTACGATTTTGTTAGTGTGAACATTTGTCAAGTCTTTCGCGGTGCGTTTCTTGCATATTCTATGTTATCTAAATTTTCTATTCTACATTATTTAAATTTTAATTTTTGTAATTTATACTTCTGACACTTTGCTTATTATTTATTTTAAATTGCTTATTAACGTACTGATGGAGACACTGTGATGTCGAAACGTATGCTATTTTGTTTTTAATTATACAAATATATTCTAGTCTTAATTCGCCACCTAAAGCTGCTCGTCATTATTATTGGCCTTTAGTTATTTGTTATAAAGGTTGTTCTTTATTACAAATATCTATAGACAAAGTTAGTAAAAATACGAGTTTTCGAAAAATGTTTCTCGCGTCGCAGAGACAAGATTTTCCGAGGGTCTCCAAATTTCGGTTTGACGCCAAACAAAATACGCGCGCGCGAGGATCGATAACCATCGATTGTCCCGTCGTGCCTTGCGCGGGCAACTTCGCGGCAGTGATGTCGGACTGGTCGCGTTTTTCGCGCATGCACGACAGTTAAGCCTATCACACAATGCGAGGCAACAGGCAACAGGAATAGGGAATAGAATTTTTGACGCGTTGGATTGGTTGAAGGAAAATTTCCGACGAATCCAACGCGTCAAAAATTCTATTCCCTATTCCTGTTGCCTGTTGCCTCGCATTGTGCGATAGGCTTAACCAGCGATGTGTCGGTAATACCAGAGAGAAGCCATATAGTTCCAAAAATGAAAATGGGCGTACAGCGCTGGAATCAGTCGAGCGAAAACGGTAACAATAGCAAAACGCCGGCATGGCCGCTTTCATGTTTCTCTCTGATTGTAGACTGGGACTTGGCGCTCGCATGGAGAGGCGCTGAGGACATTCGCGCACACTTTTCTTCACAAACCTTTTTAATCGCACCTGAAATGTTCTTTATGCAAAATACAAGAAAACACGAATTATTTCCGGTCGGGCATTGGTTAATGCTGAGGCTGCCGGTGAGATGGCGGCACAACACGCCCGAAAGAAAAAAAAGAATATGGCGCTGTCCTCTCCTCGCTGCGCCGCTGCTGTGTCATATCGCATGTGATTCGAACTTGTCGGCGGAGCTTATCGATGATATTTTCGTCGGCTTCGTTCTGCGCCCTATGTTCCGCGTCGCGAATCCGATAAATGATGTAACGGGTAAAACCTGGTTCCAGAACGATGTCAAAATTGAACGGATTACTCTTTCTTTGTTCTTTATCGGCTATTATCACTTGGGCTGTACGTAGCGCATACTTTAATTGTGTTTACCTTTTTAAGTGTACAAGACTCGGTCCACAATGAGCTGTTGGTCTGAAGTTGGGACTACGTGTCAGTCCTTTTTCTTTCGCCGAGAAAGAAGGAGAAGTAACAACTAACGACTCGTTGTAGACCGGGCCTGAGCCTCGCATCATTGTTCTATACTTATTACGTGTTTTGACGCAATTAGAGGCAATTTGTCTGGGAATAGTAACGACCGTATCCTTAAGCTTCGTTACTTACACTTGCCTGACTTGTTCTTTTTGTTGAAATGTTTAGATTTAATCTGTAAAGTTACGAGTTACTATGCGTTTTTTTTTCATTGTAGGTTTCAGTCGCTCCTTCAACTCATTGCGAAGTGCGTGACCATGAGTTAAACCTTTTATATAATTTAACAAGTTTGTCATCCGACAAGGAAGATATTATCATCGAGCATGACACTGAAAGGATACGTATGCAACTGTGTTCCCCGCTGATTAAAAGATGCAACAACCAGGATGGCTACGCGATATGTCTGATAAGAGACAACACAGAGAGAGGAATAGGTAAGGCTGCCCAGTTGAACGGACATTTTATCTATTGAGGTGCTCATGAGTTTGAACGAAGAAATTAATTTTTGTCCGCATGCGCAGGAAGGTTTCCTCCGAAATTAGATAGTAATAATGGAAAAATTTTGTTCAACTTTACCGGCGACAGTTGTCCATTTGGAACCAATTACACCATGAAGATTATTATGTATTGTGATTACGAGGCGGAGAATAATTCGCATCCTGAATTATTTTTGCACGTAAGTAGTGTTTCTTTTATAGCGAATTAGGTTACACTAGCGTGCGCCGAGTGTACACTAAGGCTTGTTCATAGTCAGTTCTTATATTTAACTTTGTCTCATGTCCAAAGAGTAATTTAGCCAAACAGTTGGCCAAGAGTTACAGACGCTGTACGGATCATTTTACTGGCTAAAAAGTCTTTCACGAGGTATTAAAGATGATCTTTAAATATAAGAATTGACTGTAAACGAGCCTAAAGGCTTGTTTTCTGTTCTTACACTAGTGAACTAGTGCAATAAATTAGAGTAAGACAAGCATATATTTTCTCATTCTGCCTTACTGCACTAGTTCACTAGTGCAGGAACAGAAAACAAACCTTTAGTGCGCACTGAGTGTACACTGGCGCGAGCAACCGAATTTGCTATTGGATACACGAGTAGATGCATTTAGATCGGGTTGCGCGTACATATAATAGAATATTTTTATTGACCGTATCTGGCAATTAAAATTCTTATTGCGAAAAATACCCCAACCAGGATTCGAACCTGGGACCTCCCTCAATCCGTGACGGGAGTCTTACCAGGTTCGAATCCTGGTTGGGGGAATATTTTTCGCAATAAGAATTTTAATTGCCAGATGCGGTCAATAAAAATCATTGATGTTGTTAATTACTGCTGGCGACTTTTAAGAGCATTCTTAATAGTTTATATAATAGAATGTTTTGAAAACGTAGGGAAACGAAGAGTGCGACTTACACATAGTGTGGAAGTCGGCGTTAGCTTGCGTGCCCAGAACCCAGACAAACTGTATAATCGCCAACGATGGACATATTTACGATCTGAGTCTTTTAACAAGAACCTCGGAAAATTATGTGATTCCAATGAAAGACGGGATTCCTATGAACAGTAAAGCCAGATCGCCCAAAATAATATTAAATGTCTGCCAGAATGTAATACATCACGGCACCTTGTGTCCAGCCAAGTCTGGAGCCTGTCTGGACGATCCTCAAAATCCTAAAAGGTAGCGGTCGGCAAGTGCATCTCTTATTAAAATTGTGTGTGACGCGAATATGCAACTTGGTTTCATTGTATATACGAACGTATAATCTTTCCATGTGTGAACTGTGTGTCTTCGAAAATTAAAATTGCTTCTGTTTTACCTTGTTGCAGGTACTCAAGCTTGGGAGAGGTACAAAAACCTCCTTTCTTCAGGAACGGAAGTTTACAGATAGAGTACCAGAACGGTGCATTGTGCATTGTGCGAAATATTTCAACTCCGCACGTTAAAACAACTATCACATTTAAGTGTAATGTGGCGGCTATGGTACAGCATTAGATAATGACAGAGTGTTATGCATACATTTATGTAAAGGAAGTACGTTTCGTGAATATCACATTGTTGTTACCAGGGCCTGCCGGAATATATTGGAGGAAGAGAGAGTTGTGATTATCATTTCTTATGGTATACCTCTGCAGCGTGCGACGTGGAGACTCTGCGTAAATACAGTGCTAAAACAGCAGGCAGATGTACCGTCACGAATCCAGTTACGAATTTCACGTAAGAACAATTCCTCGATATCGTTACGATAGATACTGATAAGTATACGACGCTTTTACAATCTCACTACGCATTTTGTATTACACAGATACAACCTGCAGACATTGATGAACAAAGACTTCACTGTTACGAACACAAGCGGTGTAAAATACAAATTCAGAGTTTGCGGTGAGCTGGCGGATAATACATGTGGAGTGAACACAGGTGCTGTGCTTCATCACGAAATTGTATTGCATGTATTGTGATTATGCGACGGCTTTGAATTTTATCTATCAACTATTATTCCTTCGTACAGGAGTGTGTAATTCACAGCGTGGTACGTCGTTGGGGAAAGCTAATACACACCTCATGTGGCAGCAAGGTGGCCCTTATTTAAATTATACCGATGGGGATTTATGCGAGAATGGAATGCGTCACTACACACTCATCGCGTTTGTATGCGAGCCACAAGGATCGCCCAACCAGCCGTTGCTCATGAAAGAATATCCTTGTCAGACTATCATACACTGGAATACAGATTTAGTTTGTGAGAAAAAAGTAAGTATAATTATATGCATGCCCTCCGATTTTTCTCTCCTTGACGCAATATATAAAGGATTGCTCTTTTGTCTAGATCAAGTGCGCTACCGTTAATGACGATGAGATCAATTTGACTCCTCTCATACAGTCTACAAATAATTACGTCATAAAGGCCAACGGCACGGAGTTTCATATAAATATATGCCGACCGTTGGTTCCTACTCCAGGTCTTACGTGTGCGCATGGTAGTGCTGCTTGTAAAGTTTCGGTAACTTCAAAGAACGAATATGTCAATGAGATTGTGAGTACAGATTCATTTAAACAGTCCAGCGACAAAATGATTAGAAATGTATAGCAATAAATTTCAATAATCTGCATATTTCCGTTAAAATAATTTAACAGAGTCTAGGATTTCCTGAGGACAGTCCAACGTTAAATAGAGATCTACGAACAGTGTTACGTTATATCAATGGATCGCAATGTCCCGAGAATCCAGCTAAAACGATATCTTCAAATTTCACATTCATTTGCAATAACAACAATCAGGTGACAGATTTTTCCAGTAGTTTTGATCTGAATTTTAATGATAAATTAACGGTTTACTTCGAGATCGAATTTTACAAATCATTTGGTAGAAAGTCACTACTATGACGCAGCTTTATTCATGATTAAAGAATTGATAATACGCTTAAAGTTTAGTTCATTTTCTCATATTTCAGGGACTTCCGGTGTATAAACATTATGCTAATTGCACTTATGTATTTGAGTGGAATACGAGCATAGCGTGTGGAGCTGTGATGGGAGGTTGGACAGCGCCATGTACTATAAAAGATAGTTTCCTGTCGTATGAATATAATCTTTCTTTGTTATACCAGAAGCAACAATTATATAATGTGAGTTTAAAATGTAAATGGCCACTTTGTAGCTATCTATGTACATTAACAAATTATCTACTCTGCTTTAAACAAGCTTGATATCGCTAACAATATATTTTGCATACAATACGTAATGCACATAATGTTTATTGATAATATGAATATTTCGAAAAAAACTAAGAAAAAATCTAAAACTAAAGGTGAAAAGCAGACAAGGCAAGGAGTATGCTTTAAATATTTGTGGCGGTGAAAAGTTTTGCAACGGTTCTGCTGTCTGCCGTGAAGGCAATGGTTATGGATCGCTGGGAAGTGTGATTTTCGATTATAGTCGTGACGACGTAAAACTTAAATATTCAAATGGCAGTAAATGTAACAACAGTAAGTTATATATTTCTGTTTTATTAATGTACTCATTCATTAATTTCTCCATTGAAGCATGTATATGAAATTATACTTTTCTCATACAGATTCTTACACGTCCGAAGTAAGATTTATATGTAACGAATCCATGGGCATCGGTGCACCGAAACTACTCTTGGTAAGTCAAAGATATACAGAATTTCATTGAACATTTCTCGAATGATCAACAGATATACAAAGGAAATTTTCCAAAAGTAAGAAATAAAAGTTTGAAGATTTTAAGAGTAACATATATGTATATTCATTTATATGTATAAATATATAAATATTTATATATATAAATGTACAAATATTTGTATTCATAAATTTGTACATATTTTATTTGGGCTTACTTTTGTAACTTCTCCTTCTGCCAATAATTATGCATGGCGTTTCAAAGTTTCTTTTACATAATTTGGGTACAATTCCCTAGCACAAACGTCTAGCACAGACGATTGGTTTTTATATTTTTTATACGTTGCAAAATTTAAAGATCTAATATACTTATAATTAATTCTTGATTTATGAACCTAAGCACATATACACGTATACATGCGTAGTATAATATATATATATATATATCTATATCTATATGTACACAGCTGTGATTGACTTTGCACATTTTGTTCAAAAATTTTTATGTGTAATATATGCATATAATACGATAGATCTTTATATACAAATATGATATCAAACGATAAAAAGATTATGTTTATAATATTTATACATTGATTATTATAGCATAAATTCTGCATATCTTCGTATTATGACATAATTTTTTACGATCGTCTTAAACTTCTTATATAATAATTGGAAAAAAATTATACATGCTGATTTCTCGTAAGAACATATGTCAAATTGATCTAAAAATGGCGATATGAAAAAATATGCATTAAAAATCAAGACCCTTTATACTATATGTATTTACACATCAGTATGTGAAAATACCATCTAAAGTGAAATTAAAAGTGTTTATCAGGTACTATCTTAATAACTTTAACTCATGCAGGGTGTATCCTATTCTTAATATGTCAGCATTTTAATAAAAATGGATAAAATAACGTATTCCTGAAATGTTTATGCTAACAAAATTATAGGAAACACCTTATAAAAACTATTATATAAAAAACATATATACATATTATATAAACTATTTTTTTCATTATAATATTATTGCACTATATACACAGGTATATTTTATGATTAAATTAAATGCATCACAATACATAAAATAACCTTTGAGTATTTTCTTATAAAAGTTATTATAAAGTACCTCTTAAGCGTAACAGTGCATGAAAAATTGTAACATTTTAAAGATGAATTTCAAAATCACGTGACGAGAGGAATAAACGTTTCATAATATTATGTAATATTCACGTGATCGAAGCTGTACTTTGTAGTAATTTGCAAAAAGTTCAATTTGGAATCTCATATGACCCGCAGGAAGTGTTTAAAGTAACGCATTTCCTATGATTAACCAAAATACCCCTAGATATTTCCCGAACACTCAGGTCGACAAGTAAATGTTCAAAATATGTATAACACAATATTTTATCGAAGTTACTTAAATGAGTTATCCCTAAAAAATCATTTAAGTTTATAGGAATATTTTATAAGACAAAAAGTCAATAAATATATACCCAATAATATTTACACGCGCGCAGTAAAGTTAAAATGTAACATCAGTCAGTTGTTCATCTCTCATTTTTCTCTTGCTTATCTTTGTTTCGCTTTCTCGAGCATCCTTAACTGTATCCATTTGTATCCTTACTTGTTTCATTTAAAGATTCTAAATTAAGATCAAGTCTTCTTTAAAAAAATAAAATAAAATAAATATCAAAATGTTCTTGTATGGCTGTTAATGTTGCACATGTCAAAGAGGGATCTTTGTAAGTGATCAGTTACTATTTTCCATGGATACTTCTACCTTTGTGCTTTCAAGCAAGACATTCTCTATTGTTATGTTTCATCAAAAGTTCAGGTGAGAGAATGATCGCGATGTTTCCATTCAACTTGCACGATTCCCGCGGGTACCCATTTAAAAACTGTTCCTCCGATTCCTTATCACAGATGAACTTTTTGAGCGCGTCGGCCGGCGGCGTGGTGCTGGCTGGAGTCTCAGGAAGCGTGATGGGATAGAGCTCCTTCTTGTTCCCGTCCGTGGGGATATACAGTTGGTGATTCTCAAAGATTTTCTTCCCGGCGATGCTGTGCCTCGCGAGATTCGGCTGATGCGGCAGCGCGTATCTCAATTTGTCCCAGAACCAGGGATCTCCCCATTTGACGTACGTGTTCATACTTATGTACGCCTTCAATTCCGGATCCAGGTCGTCGATAGGGCCGATGTCGCCGTACATGATTAATATCACTCGCGCCCGACCCTCGCTCAATGCCTGACTGTGAGCGGCTCGAAATTCCATCCTCCCCCAGACGCTTTCCATGAAGTCCGGCGACAGCACCACTATCGTTCGTCGGGAATTCTCCACGGAGCTGGCGATATTCGCTGGTATCCACTCGCCCGCTAGCCAGTCCCGATAGTGAAGGCACAACTTGAACGGCATCGGGCCGTTTTCCAATTTTGACACCAGCTCGTTCACGACGAAGTCGTGATCCTTATGCGAGTAGCTTACGAACGCGTCGTACAACTTTTCCTTATCCAACTCCTCCTCCGTTACGAACCACAAACACCACTGATGTGCGAAAAGCCACACTTTAATTTGTTGTTGGTATTTGTAGTAGAGTAGTCCAAAGATGCCGATAAGTAGCCCCGCAAAAGAGATTAATATACTAACGCCGATTATCATTGTCGTATTCGGCGGGCAAAGGTCATCCCTGGTCAATTCCGATATGGAAATGTTTCTGTCCGGACACTTCACTCGAAGTAGATCGGGCATCGTCACGAAATTCGTTTGAATGAAATTGAGAAGATCCGTAGCGTCGCAATCGCATTCCCACGGATTTTCGTGTAACGTTAATCGTGTTAAGTTCGTAGACTCTTTCAGGAATTCCAACACGTCAGGACGTACTCTTGACACGTTGTTGTTATGCAGCTCCAATACCTGAAATAGAATTCGATGTTCAATTTTAACTAAAGTGCAAAACTCAATATCTTATTTTTCTATCACTTTATATATCATTTTACAGGATGATGTGGAAAAATCAAGACTGACTCGCGCAGCTTATTAATTGAACATTTTTTTCTATTTTTTGTAAATACTTGTACTAGATTTTTATCAATTAAAATATACGCATAAAAGGTAAATTTACGCACCTGTAGTGTGCTGGATAACCCATCTAGAGAAATTTCAGAAATGGCATTGTGAGATAACATAAGTTTCCTCACCGGCCCAAGTTCCATTGCTTTCAAGTCTGGCATACGAGTCAACCGATTGCCAGAGAAATTCAATTCGAATTGGAATGGGATTTTGTATTTATCAGGTATCTTTATGTCACTTGGCACGCTAATCAAGTTTCTGTTAGAACAATTCAATATGAACGCCCTGTCTTCGGGCCTTATTAAACAATCACACTTTTCGGAACACACATTGGAATCTGGTACCACACACGTTAATGATTCAGATCTCAAATCCGTGACACGCACATCCTTTTCGTCGTCCGGGCTTTCGCAAGTTAAATTTCCTGGTATTATGTGGAAATAGTTTTGCACTTTAGGATGCATTCTACCCTCCTTATAACGCAAAAAGTCGTACAAATCACAATCGCAAAGTATCGGATTATCTTGCACTAATATTATCACGTCGCGAGCATACCCCTGAAAGACGTTGCTTTCAGCATTGTGCAATAAGATATGCTTTATTTTATTATGAGTCAAATCCACTTTTATTTTGTCCGATGTAAACTGCACATCTTCGGTCTGAAATTAGAAAAGAAAAAGTTTCATCCCAAATAATACCTCATAAAATTATCTATCGCATTAGTTTTATAGATGTTTTGGTCTCAAGCAGCTCTACTTACGGCGATACATGATATATTGTTATATTTGAGATCCAATATTCGAAGTTGTACATCGCTCAGGACCCAATCGCTAAACATTTCCGAGATACTGTTATTGGCTAAATATAATTCTTCTAGTTTCACGCAATCGTGAAAGGGCGACTTCTTTCCGAGTGGATCAGACTCGTAAACAGTTTGTTGTAACGTAAGATAATTGTGAGACAATTGGGCAATTTTCAGTTGTTTTAAGGAACTGAAAGCGTGGTTGGAAATAGTCGTCAGCTGATTTTCTTCCATATTTAGTTCCTCCAAAGCGTGCAGTCCAATGAATAGATGGCTGCAAAGGATTACGTATCGATTAAAATATGAAAAACATAAACAATCGTTACCGTCCGTATAATAACAGTCATTTAAACGTACTTGGAAATGAAGGTAATTTGATTTTTTGACAAATCTAATTTTACTAATTCGTTGGTACTCGAGAAGATGTAATCAGGCAAATGTTCAATATTGTTAAAATTCAGGTTCAATTCTGTGAGTTTCTTCGTATCCCGGAATATGTGCGCAGGCAAAGTTCGAAGATAGTTTCGTTCCAAAGTGATATTAGTTAGCGAAGTACATCCCCAGAAAATATCCTCCGGTAGCGTGAGAAATCCGTTCTTTTTCAATTTCAACACCTCCAGCTTCGTTAAGTTGGCGAAAAATTCATTCGGCAAGGTCGTCATATTTCTCTTGTTTTCGAACAGAGAGACAGTGTGTAGTTTCGTGTTATTTCGCAGCAGAGCCCCCGGTAAATGTGTAAAATTGTTTCGAGATAAGTTAAGGACCTCGAGGTTTTCGAGCTTCGCGAAAATATCTTCCGGTAACTGGACCATAGAATTCATATTGAGATCGAGGGTCTTGAGAGCGACGAGTTCGTCGAAAATTCCCGATTGGGGGTCGATTAAATAATTTTTCCATAAATTCAGCAACGTCAGATTTTTCAGATTGTTGAACGTGCCCAGTTCTATCGATCGCAGAGCATTGTCGCCCAATTCGAGCCACTCCAATCCGGGGGTGTAGTTGAAAAATCCGTCGACTAGGTGTAAGTTGTTCTCGCGCAAATTGAGTCCCGTTAAATTGACTAGGCCGGCTAGGAGATCTTCATCCACGTAGGACACATTGTTGCTCGATAAGACCAGATATTTCAAATTTTCAAAGTCATCTAAATGATGCTTGACCAGGGCGGAGCTCAAATTCTTATACGATTGAAAGATCAATTTTTCCACGTTGGCGACTCCTAGCGTTCGTGTGATTTCGCCTAAACTGATGTTGTTGGTCGGCAAATCGCACATGTAGAAGTATATCTTTTTAATACTCTCATGCCTCGTCAAGGACGACACGTCCAGATGGAAATCTGACCATTCCGGTGAATTAATGCATTCAATCTGTGTAAAAAGAAATATCCATTGTTGCAAACTTGACTCATTAAAAAAAAGTAGGAAAAAATTTACGTGAAATTATTTTAAATAACGCAGAGAATGGCACTGTGGCTCCAAATATTTCTGGAAAAATTCTAAATCGTAGACGGAGTAGGATATATATCAGATGGTGATTTATATCTTCTTTCTCAAATTTTGAATTTTTATTTCTGTAAAATGATTGATTTTCATTCGCAAACATCAGATATTAAAAAACGAAGAATTTTCAACTTTTATTTTATAATCTCGTTGTGTAAGAATCAGTTTGTGGTCTATTCCAAATTCTTGAGTATGCATGACGGTCTTTGAGTCGCTGAGACAAATCGTTTAACTTTTGGCAGTAAAACTAGCAACGCATAGATCTTCGCAGCTAGTGTCTAGATAAACTAGTGACTGAGACGTACTTTTATAAATTCGCCTGGTTGAATATTCACTAGGAAAGAAGAATCATTTTTCAATAGACAGTTTATCTCGAGTCCTCCATCGTAATTCTGCTGACAGGTGCACATCTGATTCGTCGGGCATTGAAAAGTGGAAACGCTGCCCAGAGCAATAGCCAATATCAAGAATGCTTCGCGACGAGAGATCATCTTGCATTCAGTCTGATTCTTAATCTGATATCTAAACAAACATAAAGACACACTATTATTGTTGTAACATCTTTTCATATATTTATCTTCAATCCATTCATTTATTTTTAAGCCACAAATATCAAGCATAAAAGTCGGAAGTGACGTTGGTTAGATAAATCTAACACTTCCTCTTTTCGAGATAAGCTCATTGCTGTATTCTTTTATAGTCACCCATACTTTTATATGTTACGCTTTTTTTTTCTTATACATTGTATAAAATTAAAAATGTGTGTGTATAAAATATGAATTTACATTCAGGCATATGTATATTTTCTCTTGTTTATTTAGATTCAGGCAAATATAAATTTCTCTTGATACATAAGAAAATAATACGTTTGGATTTAATATCAAATTTAATTTATGGATGTGCTTTTTATTTTATCTGATATTGTGACATGACAAAAAATGTAACAAAGTGTAGGAGATAGGAGAAAAACGTGTATTTTTCTTTTATATTTTTTATTCGCTAATTACGAAAATTTAATCGTTTGTAGCTTATGAAGTATTGCCGTTCTATCTTCGATTTAAATTCTTCAATTAAAATGTTGTGACAATTTCTGAATGATTTGTAGAAAAACTATATAAACTATACATAATTTTCAAAGAACTAAATACGATCGTTGTACGATCGTTGTACGCTTCGTCTTTGTGTAATCTAAATAATTAAGTTTTAAAATCTTCAATAAAAATAAAATTCACATTGTGATGATGGATAGAAGATACACTAGTTAGATTCGTGGAAAATTCCTTAATGTACAAACAAGATAATTGCAAACGGAAGCTATTATGATAAAAGGTTAGATCACAATTCTCGGTATTTTCCTAATCTGGGATCTCAATAGAGCTACATTGATTTTTCGACGAAATACACAAGTTCCGTGTCTCTTACCGTATAATCTGGCGTACCGAACATTAAACCAAAAATAGGAAAACAAAACTAGCCTAATGATAGATTATAGAGTATAATTTGTAGCACTCGTTTTGTACGTCTCTTTTATTAATGTTAAAGAAAAAACCGCACCATTAAGAGCCTGTTTCTTAGAAATCTACCGCAATTTATTTGCAATTCATAGTAATCGTACATTCGCTGTCACCTTTTTATTTATTTATACCTCCCGTTAAAAAAAAAGCAACGTTATAAGCTGTGATGGTATCAGGTAAATCCACATTCGCGTGAGTCGCTTTGCATCTATGTAAATAATCTTCGTAGAATTGTAGTTAAAAGATCGTTGTTAAAAAGAGGAAAACCTATCGCGATAATACGATCTACCTCACAGGATTTTTCCTAAAGTAAAAAAAAATTAAAAATAAATTTCCAAATATTAACGCAAAATGAACATGCAGGATAAATTTAATCTAACATTTTAATTGGTACATAAACTAACAATTTGGAATATCAAATAGTTTTTGGGTCGAAGATAACTTAAGAGAGTCGCTGAAAATTTGTAGTAAATATTTTAGGATGACACTTCCTTTTTTCCACAAACACATTAAGTCATGTTATTGTTATCTTAAGTAATCGTATGAAAATAGCATCAAGAACGTGCGAAAATGATATGCTATCTGCGCGCGATCGATTACTATTATCTTTCATTCAAAAACTATTCGGTATTTCCTACGGTCGTGTTCGTTATTAAATAAGATTACACGGTTGACTGAAAACGTCCTGCTAAACTTGAGAATTCTAACACGCATGTATCACTGATAACACGATAATCGTGGCGAGATATTAATATCTGTTAAACTGTACGTATTTATACGCAAACAAATAACACGCTTGAGATTTCATCCATTAAATTCCGTAATTCTGGCGAATCTCTCTGACATTTGCGCCGACGTTTTCTGAGAATGTCGAGAAAGGTCGAAACAGCGAGATTTGCAGAGGCATATGTATAAAAAAAAAGACGATTAATATCCATTTCTATATCAATTAACTTCAAAATCTTGATTTAACTTATTTTTTGTCTCTTTTTTTTAAATTCTAGAACTAAAGAAAGATGAGAAGTTAAACTTAAGTCGATCTAAAATACGTTGGTAAGAGAACACAAAATCGGCGAGTTCATTAAGTTTTATCGATTTAACTTTTTAATAAGTAAAAGTGTAATCGCGTAAAAGTGATACCGCATTAACTAGCAATTACGCGTACAAATGTTGAACAAAAGATTGATCGTGCTGGTCGAGTAAAGTTGAAAACAAAATTAGTTTCTTGCGATATTTATTAATTAAATGCACATTGGTTTCAACATACTTTTATCTAGAAAGAGAGGGGGAGGGAGAGAAAGAGAGAGAGAGAGAGAGAGAGAGTTTTTTATTTTATCTAAGAAGTTTCGCAACTTTGCGCAAGAAAATTCAGTAACTTTATCTGCGAAGGAAGTGACAGTGATTTTGCAATTTGACAAGTAGATCAATTTGATCAGTTCTCGTGGATTTGCGAAAGTGTATTCTATCGCGTTCGCGGCGGGCAGCTTTGACGTAAAAAGTGATATCGCATTAACGATAACGCATGATCTTTTATGCTCCGCGTTTCGTCTTTACATTCTCCGTGTACACACAGAATTTATGTGAGAGTTTTTCTGATTAATATCTATACTGCCATAAAAAATATTAATATCCACCGCAATAAAATATCAAGTATTTTTTAATTAATTTTATTAAAATATATAGTCAAACTTCAATATTTCGCATTTTCTCCCCACGTGCTCCGTGTATACAAATACATATACACGGAGAGAATTTTCTCTTAAAATTTATCCCGAAAATCGTGGTAGACGTGGAACAACATGGCACCGCGAAGAATTTTATGTGAGAGTTTGTCTGATTAATATCTACTGCAATGAAAAATATTAATATCCACCACAATACAGTACAAAAGATTTCAGATTAATTTCACTGAAATACATAGTGAAATTTCAAAAAGCTCCTCGAAATGCCATATTGTCCCACGATTACCATGATTTTCAGAGTAAACGGTAAAAGAAAGTTCTCTCCGGATACAATTACGTGTACGAAACTACGCGTGGAACATTCCTCCCTTTTTACAAACGTGACCTAATTATATAATCTGGTTTTTCCCTGTCATCGAAGATCGTTAGGAGCGCGCGCTCTCGCATTCGCCCAGCAAGAACACTAACGTCAAATCGACGTCAATGGAATCGATATCGCGTCCCAACTGTCAGTTTAAAAAAATAATTAAAAGTTCTGGAACTTCATTTTTTGTCAGGTCGTAGGTGAAGAATCCAAGATTGCCAGTATAATAGTAAAATTCCAAATTTCATTCGACCACAGCTGGCCGCATTTGTTAATTATCCCTGGCTGAGGGGTTGAGATTGGGATTAGATTGAAAGTTGACCAATCACAGTAAAGTTTACTAATCTCAAGTTTAGTAACTTTTACTCTAATTGGTCAAATTTCAATCTGATCTCAATCTCAATCCATAGTCTGATGCGGGCTTTAGGACTTGAGCAGAATGACTGTATTGTACTCTTAAGACAATGTTTTATATTTTAAACCTTTGTCTTAAAGTAACGCACAATAATTGTCTTATGACTTGAGAATACAAGACAGCCAATCTGCTCAGGGCCTAAATTCCGTACACGATTACCGACGACCATCGATACGTTAACGACGTTTGCGCAGCTTTTTCTACATGATAGAAAAGCTGCGCAAACGTCGTTAACGTATCGATGGTCGTCGGTAATCGTGTACGGAATTTAGGCCCAGGCCCTTAGTGATCTCGCTGGGCGGCAGTTTGCCGCCCGACGTTCCGCAGCTATTTGGCACTAGTCCTTATCGGCATGAAGAAGGGAGAGAAAAAGAGATCGATAGACACACGCCGATCCAAAGTTCATAGGCGACAGTCAGTATCTCGATACCGCGATACGACGCGATATTCCTCTTTCGTCGTTCGCGCCTATCTTGCGCAGATTTCAAATATACCCCGCGTTATGTAAACACCGAGAGATCCGGGCGTGTGAACGCGCCGTAAAAACCGCAACAGCATCGCTGGCATTCCCCGAAGCGCGTTAATTCCCGTCGTCACGAGACCGAGTCCACGTTGAGTCGTCGGGAAAACGAGTATGGGGCCATCGTACGTTTACTCCATGGAACTATCGATGAACGGTAGAAGACGAAAAAAAAAAAGGGAAAAGAAAGTGTATACACATATCCCGGATCCTACGCTCGGCTACGATTCAATCAACTGAATGCGTGTCCGTGCGCGACGATCGTCCTTGGCGCGTTTCTACATGAACGAACGTTATTTACGTCATGCCAGGGCCTGACTTACCCGGCGGAATCACGTGTTACACGCTCCGGGAAGCGCATGTGAAATTACAATTGTTTGAGTTTTATAAAAGTCACAAATAAGAGGTTTTTTTTCTGTAAAAGTTTAAGTTTCGCAAAATTTATAAATGAAGATAGCACTCGCGGCAGAAATTCCCTACTTGAACCATGCGAATCCATTTCCATTATGAGCCGTGTTAATTTGTCCGTCGTATAAGAAGGACGTGTAAAAGTCGTCAATTTTTGCCCCCCCCCCCCACCTAGCAAGTGAAATTTGCAGGGTTGGGAAATAACTCGTTACTTGTAACGAAGTTAGTTACTTTTTTTTGGTAACTCTAACTTAACTTCGTTACTTTCTCTCCATCTGTAACTGTAACTTAACTCGGTTACATTTTTTCGATAACTAGTAACTAATTCAATAGTTACATGAATAGTTGCTTTGTATATTTTTTAAATATACCCCCACAGATCGCATTAGGCCTTGCATTTGCGCATAAACGCCTTTATCGACGCTTTACAATTCAAATGCAGATTTGATATTTTTATTTTTATTGCAAGAAAGTAACTGCAAAGTAACGATTCGTTACTTTTTTTTTTAGTAACTGTAACTGTAACGCGTTACTTTTCAGAATTGGTAACTTGTAGCTGTAACTGGTTACATTTTTAGCGAAAAAAAAACTAACTTTACTTGATACTTTTATAAAGTAACTTTCCCAACCCTGGAAATTTACATGTATTTTTTAACAGTTTTAAGCTGCGGACTCACGTGGTGGAATCAGTTTTCTATAAACATTTTCATTGCAAGAAAGTAACTGCAAAGTTACGATTTGTTACTTTTTTTAGTAACTGTAACTATAACGCGTTAGTTTTCAGAATTGGTAACTTGTAACGGTAACTAGTTCCATTTTTAGCGAAAAAACTGTAACTGTAACTAGATACTTTTATAAAGTAACTTTCCCAGCCCTTTTAACAGTTTTTAAGCTGCAGACTCACGTGGTGCAATCATTTTTCTACAAACATGAAGGGAACATACGTAAAAATGTGAAAGAAGTGAGTAAATAGACACAGACATACCATAAGAATGAGATACATAATTTCCTTTATAGGATATTTTACTCCTCGAAAACCATCACGTGTATGACATTTTGTTGTGACGGTTCGAATTTAAAAGAAAATAAAGGCGAAGCCTGTCACCTTCTTCCCGCCTTCTTGAAATCTAAACTCTTACGCTCGGTTTTTCATTTTTCGATTAAATGTTAACCAGAAAATGGAAGACCGGATCTTAAAGACAATATGGGACTCTCTATTAATAAAAGTGCTAGATGTAACAATTTCACGTTCTTGAATTTTATACTGAAGACTTATTAAAGCCAAAACGTTTGCTTGATTTTCAGTTACTGGAGAATAAAGTATTACGAAATCTACAACTTTTTTCGCTCGTATAGTTGGCCCAACTTTCTCCTTGTATTATTTTTAAGATCTTTATCTTAAGAAGTGAAAGCGAATCCGCTTTATTTGACGTAATTTGCGCAGTTCAGAATGAGATCCTTTATCGTCATATTTTCAATTCTCTTATTCCTCATGTTTCCTCTACGTGTTAGTCCATGAGCTGGGAAAGGGAGCGGGACGGGGAAAGGCGGGAACAAAGGCGTGTTCTTTGCGACAAAGCGCGGATTCAAACGACGCGACGGCGTTGCGAAGACGTTTCGATCGTCCAGTTCTTGGAAAACGATCTTCGATTAACGAGTCCATTAGCAGTAAGTAAATTATGACGACGGCAAGCGATTGTTAATCCCGGCCTCGATCACGAGTCTTTTTCCCATAGCGTGCAGCTCGTGAAAAGCGACAGATTTCATTAACGAGTTCAATATTTGTCAATAAAAGTTTTCACTTTTCGCGTTTGAGGAAAAGATTCACGATTGAGTCTCCGGCCGCCGAATATTCGCGCCTTCTTTTTGCCATTTCGAACGACGTCGCGGAGTGAATCAAAGGCGGCCACGACTGGAGACCCGACCCTGCGCGATTCACCACGATCGTTCGCGGGGAGGGCGCGGTGGCGCCTGTACCGGTTTCGTTTCGCAGAAGTGAGAATCGCGCATACGATTACTTACCACCGATCGCAATATGGTGGACCGCGTATATATAAGGAGGACCACCTGTGGCGCGGCTCCTTTTCGCCTATCTCGTTTTTTTTTTAATCCGTCGGACGATAATGGCGATTATTACCAGCAACGATGTCGCGCACAACGCGCACGCGCGCGTGTGTATACGCTTCTCGTATTATATAGCGTGCGCGCGACACGTGATCTTCGCGAACAATCTTTAAGTACTAACAAAAAAAAAAGAATCCGCTGTCGTTCCGGTGGCACTTTGTTCTCTTCTTTCTTTTAATGGCGTTCGCGCGCCAAGGGGCGAGATTTTACATGCCGAGCGTACGAGAGGATCGCCGCGGCCGCGGGCGAACGGTCCCAACGTAGAGAATCCCGAGTTGATTCATCGGGGAGCTGTCGCCGTTACGTCACCACCAGTCCGACCGCACAACCGCGCGCTCCGGCACTGACTGACGTCTCCGTCGCGAACAACCTGTCGTTCCCCGCCTCCCCTTGTCGTCCCCCAGCCCCCGGCCTTCCCCTCTGTCTTCGTCCCGTACCCGCGCCCGCGCGTTCTCTCCTCGTTATCGCGAGTCACGTCGTTAGACGTAAAAGAAATGTACACCCGGGGTCATAAATGTCTGTTACCATATGCGTGGAGTCGCATTCGCGATTCATTCTGAGGTTACAAGTAACAGGCGAGAAAAATCGGCTCTCTGAAAGCCACTCGGTAACATTATCGCGGGAAACGATTATACGGGGTGTCCCAGGAGGAAAGGTGAATATTCTGGGAGGTGATGCTGTCGGTCATTTTAAGCAAGAATGTTCATGCCAATGTACGTCCTATTCCCCGCTGTTTCCGAGATAGGAGCACATTTTGTTGACGTCCTCGTGCAGATAAAGCATGAACACTGGGCAGGCGTCCCACTTCCACGCAATGCATTGAAAACCTTGGAAAACACTCTACGATTCGGAAGTCTGCGTGTAGGAAAGCGTCGACGATATTCTTCAACAGCAGCAGTAGCCAAGGGCGTCCGCAGAATTTTTTCCAGGGGGGAGAGGGGCATCATTTATATTGTTAAAATATTACTTCCAGAATACTTATATGATTTCAAATATATACACCTTTCGGTAAAAGCTTTCTCACCGCGACAGGGTATGTCAAATAGGCCAAATTTTTTGCTGATTTCAAATTCCAAGATGTCCTATGCCCTATCTTGCCCCCCCCCCTTCGACACTACCGTCACAGAAACCGTAATCATACAGCGTATCTGCATATTCGGCATTTGTGAATAGCGAGACATTTTGAACATTTCTATAATGTTATCGGCACAATAATCGTCAGACGTATAAGAGTGAATTCCCGCAGACGTTTACGACGTTAGGTGAAGGGTGAAGTGTACAGAAAAAATATAAAAGCGCGAGACATTCAAGTAGCTCTACCTCGGAAACAGTGGGGAATGCGTCATGTATTCGTATGAACATGTTTGCTTAAAATGATCGATACTATTACCTCCCACAATATTGACCTCCTGGAGCACCCTGTATGTCCCCTATTATGAGATAGGCTTCTAATATGAGATAGCGGAGTTTCTGCTAAAGTAATCTACATCATCCGTTGGTTTCACCAC